GGAGCTTTAGGTTCGGGTCCCTATGAGGTTTAACTACAAAATACCTCGTTTACAGCATATGAACTAAGTCCGAGAGATTTTAGTCTGCCGTTCTTTGTCGGTGCTTTTAGTTGAGAGCAAGACAGCGGTTCTATAGTCATCCAGCAACGCTGGTGCACACTTTGATAGATTTTAGCCTACTTGACTATTCTAGAATAGATTATAATTCGTTGTTGACTTCCCATGCGATTTTATTATTATTATTATTATCATTATCATTATCATCATTCTGAGATGCATGTCTAGTGCGCTGCAGTGGACAGGTGAAAGGAGTATTTCTTCTCCAGTACATCTGCTAACAAGGAAGCCTTGAAGAAAGTCACATCATCGTTTAGATGCAATGCAATTTGATTGCAACATGCCAGTCTAGCTTAAGAATCATGCAATCCAAATGCAACTTGCACTGGCTTTGAGCGTAGTATTTTGACATCGGGTCAACCAGATTGACATTGCAGCGTTCGAATCGTGAATGGACACCCCTTGTTCCATTATTCTCTTGTTGCCCTGTGGCACTGCTGCTCTGAGATTGTTGTAAGTAACTGCACTCAGTATATTCGAACAAACAGGTAAAAGCAAATATAGAACACATTGACTGCAGCTGACTGACTTAATTCGAGAAGGGTACTCAGTGGGAGGATGGAATTGGTGCAGGCCAATGCTCTCCGACATTTTGTTTCGTGTTGTGTCCTGCTGTGGTATACTACACTAGAACTAGTGAGACTAGGGTGTACCAGAACTAGTGTGCCACCGTTTCAATTTGAATATGATTACAAAAAAGCTAGTCAGCCAGTTCTAACTTGGTGAAACGTCAACCGTGGTAAAAAATACTCCTTTCTATCTCGCAAACTTTTTTTCAGATTTTAAAACATGTGCCAAATATCAGCAAGCCGCTACCGAAGTCTTTGTCTGCAACGCAAAGCATGCGTAATAATTCAGTATGCTATTTTTGTTTGTTTTCCGCAGACCAAGAGACGATGCAGCATAGATGTCTTTGCTTTAACTCGGGAACGTCTTCACTTTGCTTCTGAACAAACCTTTTTCTCCTTTCTAGTCTTCTGCGTCCCGAGGTGTGAGGTGGGTACATGATGCATATAGCTGCTTGCTTTTGCTGGCAGTCTGGTCGTACAAACTCCTTATTATTACCAGAAACACTGCAGTACCTCCTGTGGCATGTGTGATTGTTCTCCTCGTTCCTTGAGAAGAGTGAGTAGTGGGGGTGGAGCAGTCGCTGCGGTTGTGACTCAGCGTGAAATGCTTGCTCCTGAATAAGATGCCCTGAGACTAGGCGGGGCGGCATCCATGTAGGGTGTGAGGTACCCCGACTTGTGATCACGTGGACCTGAGTAAATTTCTTGGAAGTGTAGCTTCACTTGAAGTTCAGACCCTGCAATACACAAATTAAAAAAATGGGGGGGGGGGGGGGGGGGAGAGAGGGAGGGAGGGAGGGAGGGAGGGAGGGAGGGAGGGAGGGAGGGAGGGAGGGAGGGAGGAGAGGAGAGGAGTGAGAGGATTCATGATAAGAATATTTGTGCCTGCGAGTTCAACTACCACTAAAAACACTAGTTTTTTTTTGTTTTGTTTTTTTACTTAATGATGTTTTTGTTTTGTTAAGGGGTCTTGAGAATGCGAAGCATGCAGAGCCATTTACAGATACGCCTTACTGGAAACAACAAATAATATTTGCAAGAGACGAAACCTTAAAAAATTTAAAACCAGCTAAAGTATATATAAAAAAAGACAATTTTTTTAGTTAATAACTACCTGCAGCACTGGCTGCTTTTAAATTCGCCATAACGGCTTAATGGCGTATAATTGCTCGAAAGCAAACCTTGTTTAAAATGAGTAGTGTAATAAATTTGTTCGTTTCAGTAAGGAGCAACCTGCCTTTGTTCACAAAGTATCCTGCATGGACACCACTTCGGCGCATGTAATTGGTGGAAACAACTCGGGGAAAAGAAATGCACACCACTGCATTAAGCAGGGAAAGATTTGAAGTATTAAATTGACAATATTAGCCTGGTTTTAATGTTGGAGGAATAATGTAGTTGCAGAATTGGCGCTCGACCTCATTCTGGAGTAGCGAGAAATGTCGGTCTTGTACACGGCTCCAAACCGAAACTGGGCAGGTAAAGAGCGCCCGTGATGTCGATCCCTCCGTTCTGTTCCTGCTTCCTAACTGTGCCGCTGGTGACGTCAGCAGTGCGACGCAAGCGCACAGCTGAGAGATGGACCTCACCGGCGCTCTTTGCCTGCTTAGTTTCGGTTTGAAGCCATGCACAAGGTTGACATCTCTCGCCCCATATATAGCGGCCACTGCAATTTTCGTGATAAAAATGTCACGTCATGGTTAGATTGTAATGAGGTCGAGAGTCGGCTACACTGCTCCAGAAATGGAAAGTTCAAAAAAGTTAGTTGATGACTTTTTAGCAGAGTAGAGAATAAAAGTCAATGTGTTTTAAATTGTTATTTAAATCATTCAGTTCAATTCAATGTTTATTTTCTCTCGTGATACCAACAGCTAAAAGGCCTTTTGGTAAAGCTCCACACAACAATATACACGATTGCGAAAATACACGTGATAAAATGTATACCATGCACGCCTACATTTAGTTTGAGAGCGCAGCACTTAGGCGCTCGTTTCCGGCTTGAGCGGTGTCACAGCCGCTGTCGGCGTAACCGCGCAGCGCATTGTGGGACGTGTCCCACGATGACGTCAAGCAAGCGAAGGAAGAAAACATGTGACGACGTACGGATTGGATTGGATTTAGAGCTTACACAATCCAGTGAAAGCCCAGCGATCCAGCGTCCATAACGATGCGGGTAGCCATCTGACGCCAAGTTTTTTTTTTCCACTTTTTTTTTTTTTTCGGTTTCGATTGTAACGCGCATGCAATTTAGAGGACAATTTTTTCGAAAAAAAAGTGCGCGTTAGAATTGTGCAAATACGGTACACTAATCCTTCCGTATTGCTTTCAGTGATCGAACGGATTGATCAATCGATCTGTCATGTTTAATAATACACAGTGATAAAGAATGACGTTTTTTCCTAGCTACAGTGATTTAAATTATATAAATCTGATTTAAATCAATTAGGATTTAAACAAAGAAATTCTGACCGGTTTGATTTTCTTGAAGTGATGATTTCTTTACCCTGTTTTCGAGTTAGTTTGTTAGCTAATGAAGCCATTTCGCATCTTTTCTAGTGGCCTCCAAGCCACCAACGTAGCACCAGGCCTAAAGGAACCCTCGTGCAAGCTTCCTTTTTTTAAAAATTTTGTATCCACAGAACAAAAAAAAGATTACATTAGCTTGATCATGTCGACAAAGACCGGGGAGCAGAGAATGGGTTGTCAATGAGCTAGGCACGTGTACTTGTGACGTTATGAGGTCACATGGCTGTGACGTCACCCGCTGTCACTGTGTGTCATAGCGTCACGTGACATGGTGACGTGACATGACGACATTGTATTGCATCACTGTGAAGAGCTGTGACGTCACAGTCCTTTGTGACGGCTCTTCGTGGCTGTCTGCATAAAATTCGGCTGATAAAACGCATTCTGTCTTAATATACCCCGTGAAACGCCGGATAGGTATCCCAAGGGGGTGCGCACCCCCTACTGTATTCGCTCTTTTTCGCGTGAGTTGAAACGTGCTGGTGCCAGTGTGCAAATAGCCCTCAACCACTTCCGGTTCTGAACTAGACGGCGGGTTTCCCAATATTTGCGAAATCAAATATACACTTTAGAGTGCAGCTCTTAGGTGCCCGTTCCCGGCTTGAGCGGTGTCGCCGTCGGCGTATCCGCACGTTGCATTATGGGACGTTTTCCCATGACGTCAAGAGGGTCTCGAGTGACGTCACGAAAGTACCTTCACAGTGAAGGTCATGATCTTCACGCGACCTTCACTTGCGCGACCTTCACGAGGCCTTCACACGTGACGCCACGGGTGACGTCACGAGGAAGGGGGAGGAGGAGATTGAGATGGGAAGGAGGGGGGCAAACCCTCCTCTCAGTACCCTCCCGTCTTCCTCCTTAACACCTGCGCTCTAAATCGTCATTACAGAAAATTGTAAAAGTCTTCCTTTTTTTTTTTTTTTGGGGGGGGGGGGGGGGGGGGAATGCATGGCCACTTATAGTCCTGTCAGACTTAATTCACTCGGTTGATAAAAGAATGATGAGTAAAAACTTAGGACATATGCGTAAACCGGAAGTCTTCCGGGGCTACTTAAAGGACACATGCAAAGGAAAAAAACATTTTTTTTAAACGGCTTAGATGGAAAAAGGACGCCATAAAACGATTTTACAACGAAGAAAAAAAATTTTTAGAGCTATATTTACGGCGCAAAACGAATTTGGAGTTGGCGCCCGCGGGCACCGCGGAAAAGTGGTCTGTATTTATCACGTGACTGGTCTTTATTTATCACGTGGTGCTTGCGCTCTTTCGGAAGCTTCCTATGGCCTCTAAAAGTAACTTATTCATCTTTGTTTGAAGTATAACAAAAAACCAAGACGAATAAGTAACTTTTAGAGCCCAAAGGAAACTCCTGAAAAAGCGCAAGCACACGTGATAGACCTGTGCGCCGGTCAGACGACGGCGGCGGCGGCCCGAAGCAGACGAACTTGTGCGGCGGCGGCGACGGCGGCGGCGGCGACGGCGGCGTGGAGAAACGCGTTGAAGCGGCGTTCGCACAACGCTCAGCGTGCGGCGGCGACGCAGCGCGGCGGCGCGCGGGCCTACCACGTGATCAGCGGCGGCTCCCGCGAGCGCCAACTACAAATTCGTATAGCGCCGTAAATATAGCTCTAAAAATTTTGTTTCTTCGTTGTAAAATCGTTTTATGACATCCTTTTTCCATCTAAGCTGTCTAAAATTTTTTTTTTTTTCCTTTGCATGTGTCCTTTAATAGGTGACGCCACTGAGTTTGTTGCCAAACAGAAAAAAAAAGGGGTGGATACCGGTGCTCACACGAAGCTGATGGAGCCTGGCCGGTGCGGGCGGTTCCAGTTCTCGAGGGCGATGGCCCCGTTGTCCGAGGGGCTCCCGAACAGGTCCGCGGAGATGGGCGACATGGGAGTGCTCATCGACGGCGCTGTGACAAGGAGGGCCACTTAGGAGGGAAAGAGTTGGACGCCGTCAGTCTCCGCCATCACGCATCGCGGACACATCGTGCTGGACTGCGCGGGTGCCGCTTGCTCATTTACGCGACTGACGTAGTTTGATCGTTCACTATTTGACCGTTGGTGAACGCTCCTTTATCTTGCCTACAGGTGCTCACGCGGTGTCGGTTTGGCACACTCCTGGACAGTGTCGTCCGAAGTACCTTTCCGGAGCTCATCACCCGGGCGAAAAAAGCCGACTCACCGGTGCTCTGAACGCACGGGTATGGCGAGCAAGTGGTCTAAAAGTTCAATCCCCACCCCTACCCGTTTCGATCTGGATGAGCATCGTAGCGACGTGCGGTCGTGTATCACTACTACGTGGTGCACGTTAAAGACCCCAGGCTAGCACTAAATTATTTGTCTACACTGGATAGAAGCGCCGAAGGAGAGAGACAAAGTGAAGGTGGTAACGACAACACGGAGCGCTTCATGTTGTCGTTACTTCCTTCACTGTGTCCCTGTCCTTCGGCGCTTTATCTAATCGCAAACCAACTAGCCCAACTGAACATTGCGTTGCTCATCTACAGCTAAAAGACAAGTCGCCCGTTGAGGCAGACAAAGTTCAGGCTGTATAAACATACACACACCAATTTTTTAAAAGGCGTTGAGAATGCGCGATGGCAAGGCAGCCAAGCTCACGCCGTCATTGGTTGAGGTCGGGGGAGACACGCACGAGTGCGCATTTGGGGGGTAAAAAGACGCACGAGGTGCGCAAGGGGCAGTCGAACTTGCACGTCGTATACGGCATTCCGCAGAACGCTGCTGCACATGCACGGAACGCAGTGCCGGCGCCTTTCCTCCTTTGAAGTCATCACTGGTGGGCCTACGCAAGTTCACAGCCCAGCAGACAAATGGCGGCGCGTTGTGTTGGTGTCGCATATGGTTCTTACTTTAGGTAGAGACCCAATAGAAGTCATGGATGGCCATGAGGGAGCCTTCTATGGAGGTGACTGTTATGATGGCTATGATCAAGCTTGTATGTGAGAAGAACATCAGTGGACGGTGCTGTGCGTACGCGTTCATACCGCTGGCCTTGCCGTGTCTATGGACGCGCTCCCGTAGAGCAGACGGCTAAAAGCATTCAAGACGCGTCCGGTGGAAACTGACTGATTCGTGTTCGACAAAACCTTAACCTGACGCATGAACCTACAGAGCGGACGTCGGTCAGAAAATACGTTCCTGGGGGATCCGTGAATAGAGACCACCGAGAGACTCACACTTGGCGTTGGCCTCGCTCGAATATGTGCCGTCTGGAGCTGGGGAGCGGGGTTGGTCGTCATCGGCAGAGTCCTTTGCAGCCTGACCCACTTTGCGGTTTCTGGAAGACATTGACGGCGCTTGGTAAGGGCCGCCGCAGCTTATGGCCATCAGAAAGTACTATCGCGAACAGCATGGGCGGAAACGCCGAAGCGCGTGGCCTTGAAATAGACCAGTGTCTACTCTGTTCTATGGACGCCCCATGTTTGATTATGCTGACGCCATGACACAGTATAGGGGCGCTGCACTTTTAGCAAAACTCAATTTTTTTTTAATTTTTGCACATGTCGTAGTGCAAGAACGTCAGAAATGCATACAGTCGCGAAGCTCCAAGAACATCATAGATGCCAAGAGTGCTGTAAAAATCACAAATCTTGTTATATGCGAAGCCCATCTCTTCACAACAACCCGCGTTTGATATTATCATTACCCATTTTTATCGCTAAGGGATAGCATTTCAGGCACTGGTCTATACACCTTTCCAAAAAACACTCGATCCCAGGGGCAACAGACCGTTCTCGAGCCCAGTCACTGAGTTTGAGGCTAGACTCTCACCGGCGTCCCTCCTAACCCTAAACGAGTGGACTGTGATTTCAATAGGCGCAGCCTGCGTAGGCGCAGTTTCAAACGCTGCTGGCGGCTAAGTTCTCGTCTTTTCCCACTATATTTTGTGTTTCATGGTACATGTATGTTCCCGAGGACATTGAGAAAGCATTGTGCCACATTTGAAAAAAAAAAAAAAGCGAAAAAAATCTGTAAACTATTTTTGTTGGGTACGCGAGCGACAGAACGAATGCGACTGGAATGTATAGTTCTAGTTATTTGTTTTTTTCTTACGATAAGTTTTGACGGCGCCGCGGAATTCGCCGCATGTTAAACGACAAAACGCTTTGCTGTCAAAAATAAATTGCAACAGAAGAGGGCCGAAAGTCATGCATTTTTCACGCTCACAAATAACGTGTTTACCGATGGACAGGATACGGACATACGATTGAGGAAGTGTTAACATTCGAACAATATATCGTACGTACCACACGATGCAGCGTTATCCGAAAAGAATTTATTTGAGAAAGATCTCAAATACCACAGTCACAGTCGACGACAGTCACATCTTGACGATCGGACGGAATCCGAGATGACTTTGTTTTGGGGCACGTTTTGGGGAGAGCTTCCTTCTTTCACAACCGCACCAAGGCAAAGAAACAAACGCGACTGACCCGTTTCTCACCCCAACCCGGACAACTGTATTTTTGGAGATGACTGAGAATTCTACGCGGACTATCTCTGGGAGGGGGGTGAACAATGTTCGCAAAATCGCGTCGAGGGTCGTTCGACGTCCTTCGCCTCCTTCGTTTCCCGTGAATGTAAAGCAGAAAAGCTTGAATGGCAGGCACTTATCAGCCTTATTTCTCACAATGGAAGATAACACAAAAAGGGTGCGCGGCACGCATAAAAAAAATTAAGAGGAAACTCTCAAAAGGGGCGAGAAAACGTCGAATGCAAAACCGCAAAAACGTAGGTAGAGAACCGCGCTGAGCGGGTCTTCACAGTCCCAGAGAGTGGCAGAAAATTTCTAGCTGATAGAGGGCGCGAGAGTCGCACCAGCCGCATCAGCATCAGCAACACGGCGGCGGCCTAGGAGCGTTTTTTGGAAAGGTGTATATATGCTACGCTACCACGAGGCTAATAAAACGTGGAGTGGAGAAGGGGTTACGGAAGTGTGCTCTTGGATAACACCAGGGTTGCCATGTTGGGCTACTTATTTTTGTAGTTGGAGGGAAAATCTGGTGGCTGGCAGTTAGGCTATTAGGCTGTTATTAGACTCGAGAATCGAGCCGTTTGAAAGCACTTTTCTTTCAAAGACTTAAACGTGTCCAGGTAGGAAACAACGATCAACCCAAGAGAGTAGGGAAGGAAAATATCAAAATCACAAGCGTAAAAGGATAGGGTGGTCCAAGTCACCAGGCTAGATCTAAAATGGACCGTAAAAATTGACGCCTGCACATAGCAATCTAAACATTTCGTCAAAGGTGTATTTCACAGGTCGGTTTCTTGTAAAATTACAAAGCATAGTTCTCTTTCTGTAAAAAATAAGGCCAAGAAACTTGCCAGGGTCTACGGCGGGCAGCGACGCAGACGACAGGGGTTCAGTAGCGGGGTGTGTTTGGCGTTCCTATCATACATCGATATCTCAAACGGATGGCTTTATTTTTAGAAAAGAAGAGCGCGATCAAGCAAGGACTCTGACGTCACGATCCTCCTGGAGCAGCTGATAATGAGGGGAAGCGGCCTCGCGTCTTTCCTCCTCGCTTCGGTTCACCAACTCGACGGGACGAAACGAGAAGGAGAGAGCATGAGAATCGTGACGTCACGTGTCTCATCGGCCTCGTCGGCCGTGTTCAATCGCGCATTTTTTTTCCAAAAATACGGCCATCCGTTAGAGATATCTCTCTATGGGTGGTGTTTTACAGCAAAGCGGTAAATGACTCACGGGTCGGACTTCTTAAATGTCTTCGTATCGTCGTCCTTACGTAAAAGAAAACCTTCAGTGATTAAAGCAAAAAGCGCATATCACGCATACAACGTACCGCACAGCCTTCAATTCAATAAAGAACAAACACAAAACAAGCATCCGAACTACATAATTGATGATAAAGCTCTCCTGGTTAGAAGGAGAAGCACGTACCGTGCACCGCATACGTTTCGCGGTAAAGATTACTGTTACGCAGGCTGCCGCGGCGACGGCAGCTTGCGACGTGGGGTGTGACGTCACTAGCCTTTCGTATATAAAAAGTTTTGGTACAGTGCATTTACTTTTCTTTCGTCAGTTTCGTATAGACCACTTGCCGCTAGACCACTATTTTGTATAGACAGCACAAACATGAACTGCCGCTTGCGTCCCAAGCGGCTTCCGGTCGCACCGTCTTTGCAGACCTGTTGAGCTTGCTTATGTCACCGGTGCTAGAAAGCATAAATGCTACACGGACAACAAAGTTGGAGATTTAACGAGGGCCTTCGGTTGTACATTATTACATCTTGGAGGAGGCAAGCTGGTTTACAGGAATACTCGAAACATTTTAACAGATCTCGCGCTCCTTCGTTCTTTTGGCGTTCATCTGGAGAATCGGCGGTTAAACGTTTCATCTACATTTCAAGCAGCGGTATTAAGGTGGCCTTTGTTCATTCTTTTTCTAAACCGGAAGTTCTCTTGGACGCCAGACACTGGAGCACCACCTGGTAGGGCAATCGTTCGCTCGGGGGAAGTGTGTTTCGTCGTCTTTCCGCAGCGGGGCGCCAGTCACGTGGCTCTCCTCTCATCCGTTGTCTGCCACCCCACCTTTTCCATTTCGGCGGCCGCTTCTCGTGGCGATCTGCCTCACACCAGCGGGCACGCTTCGAGCTTCACCGCTTTGTATCGGAGTGCTACGAGCAGCGGCTGACATGGGGGAGCGCGTAAGGTTAGCACGATTGCCTCAGAAATTATGCTCATTACCATTATAGGTCGATCTTTTTTGGTTTTGACTGTAGGTTGAGCTCTAAACTTAGAAAGCTGTGTCGAGAGAAGAGAGAAAATGCGGGTCTCTATTTGAATAAATACGGTAGTCAAAATAGTCCCCGTGTAGCAGTCATTCTCAAGGATAGCGAACTTCGACTCAACTCGTGTTCTACGCCGTTAAAACACAGTGTCACTTTTAAAGTACAAAGGTAGGTTTTCATAATATTTGTGGGTAGTTGTTTGTGCAGTTTATGACGTATAGTATATTTAGTTCTGTGTTCATAAAACTTTGGGGGACGTATTTTTATTGATAAGCGTTTAGCGGATATGCTGGTTTTTTTCGGCATTTTAAAGGAATTATGTTTTCAGGCTAAATTATCTACTGAGTGTAAGAGGGCGCAGGAGGGTGAGGCTTTATCTCAGCTGAAGTGTTGCGCTGTGCTTCATGTGTCAACTATTTTTAATACCAGGCACGTAGCCAGGGAGGGGCAAAATCTTCCATTTTGCTGGGACCTCCTCTCCCCCCTCCCCTTCATACAGCTTTTTGTCATTGGCGCCCCCCCCCCCCCCCCTCCCGAAACAAAATCCTGGCTACGTGCCTGTTTAATACCCATTGTAAATGGAGCCTACCTCAGCCATATTTCTAAAAAGAAGACTGTGTGTTCCTTTTGCGTCCAATTTCTTCTTACTGCAAAAAATAATAAATACTATTCCTCAGTATCGAAGAGGAACCCTTAATCATTATCGAGAATGAACTCATTTAGCGATGCAATCACATTTTCGTTTTCATGTGACATGGTAACAGGTATCGGCATCTGTTCCAAAAGCGTCCCCCCCCCCCCCCCCCCCCCCCTCAGTGGTTGCTCCAAAACTATAATTTGCTTGCTACAAAAGGTCAAATGCCTCTCCCATCACTGACGCAGTTTTATCAGCCTCGAGGTCAGCATGTATCGAAGGCCACGTGCCCCGGCGTTCAAGCCCATAGTGTTGGCGATAGTACAGTGGATCCTCACTAGAAAATCTGTTTCTTCCGGAGAAATCTTCGGTATACAAGTACGCCAAGAACTTGGCATTTAGAAAAATAGAAACTTGTATTTGTATTACAAGTTTCTATTTTGTATTTACGGGAAACGTCAGCGATTGCTGTTGGCACCGATCTCATCTTAGGTGATCATGATTCAAGAAATAGATTTAAACTGAGTTATACGTACATCGCAGTTTAGCAGGCACTTTCAAGAGTTGACACGTAGTAAATCAAATCTGTTTCCATTATGCATGGCACCTAATTTTAAGCATATGAAATATAAAAGAGAAAAATTTAACACGCGGAACTTGACAGTGGGGAGCTTTCTGGGATTGTAATGCGACCCGATTGTCTCTTATTGTGAGTCTAATTTAAGACTGTGTGGGGACGGTAAGCCTTGTAATTAACGTTTAATAGCAGGGGCTCTCGTAGTCAATTTAAGAAACGGCCTTACCTGTACAAGTAGACAAATGCGCTCACCACCACTGGAAGCATGAGCGCGAATAGGATCTTCAGCGCTCCTCGACCTCCTCTGTCTGAAGGAGAAAGCCGAGGAAAGTTGGGTTAGAAAAAAGTTTAAGAAACACATTTCAAATTAAGGAGTTCTTCAGGATAGCATTGTTTACTGCGGAGGTTCTGGGCACGAGTGGGGCACTTCAGTGACTAAAATCAAGTCATTCACTTTTTTGAATGTTCGGTTTAGCTGTAATTTTTCCACTCAAAAGAAGTGTAGTCCGTCGGCAAGATAAGCCATATCAGTCGGTATAGTGCTAGCGGTTGCGACAAGACTAAAGTTCCAAAGCATGATTCGATTGAAAAATTATTTTTAAGCTATTCCAGGATATTTGCAGTGGGGAAGTGGTGCCCGTTACAGGACAGCAGACGCCATTCGTCTTCATGTGTTCGCTGTCTGTAGGCCAACACGTCCTCATTGAAAACTTCGGGAAATCGCCTATAACTCTTGGATCCGATAACGGTATAGCCTTTCAAACTTTGTTGTGTGTTTTATTTTCTTCAAAACACCCATTATTGCATAAAATAAATTTTGTTGGTGGTATCCGCTTGGTGGAGCACCTCGTGGGGCGTTCAGTAGGGCGTTTTGTAAGACATTTTATGATGCGTTTTGTACGGCGTTTAGTGCGGCATTTAGTGAAGCGTTTAGTAGAGTGTTCTGTAGGGAATTTTATTATGCGTTGTTTAGGGCGTTCAGTAGGGCATTTTGTGAGGAGTTTTGTATGGCGTTTAATACGCATTTAGTGGGGCGTTTCGTATGACATTTTGTAAGGTGTTTAGTAGGGTTCATATGTATTTAGTGCAATATTTAGAAGAGCGTTTCGTAGGGCCTTTTGTAAAGCGTTTAGTAGGGCATTTCGTAGGGATTATGGGAAGCATTTTGTAGGCGTGTTTCGTAGGGCACTTAGTGGTGTGTTTAGTAGGGCGTTTGTGTAAGGCTTTTAGAAGGGCATTTTGTAAGGCGTTTTGTAAGGCATTTCGTTGGGAATATGGGAAGCATATTGTAGGGGCGTTTAATACATTTAGTAAGGTGTTCAGTAGGGCGTTTGGTAGCATTGTGTAAGGCTTTTAGTAGGACATTTTGTGCGGCGTTTAGAGGGTACTTTTGTTTGGAAATCTGTACGGCGTTTAGTAGGACGTTCAAACATAGCGTGCCTATTTCGCAGAGCTCCTCGGTGCCCGTTTCGGACGATTCCCGGATGTAGCCACTCTTGCACTGGCAGCGCTCGCCGCCGCAGAACGAGTTGTTGACCATGTTCTCGCAGTCGGAGTCTCGTGTGCAAGCCTCGTCCAGCGCCTTTCCTGGAAGAGGCGCGAACCCAAAACGCTTGAAGGATGCCAGACACATCTTGTTGAGACTCTTCACCCTAGCGTGCCACTTATTTTGGCAACATTGATACAGAAAAATATGTAATTGAAACTTATCGTTTCTAATAACAGAGCAAGGGTTGGCCTGTTAACAGACGGTTTGCAGAGTTTGGGAATGGTTATCGGGCTCTTATAGCATTGCTATTACGAGAAGAGGAGGGTCCTCCATCAGGTTTTGAAAAAACTTCCTACTCGAACGACTTTTGTCAGAAGAGAATTTTTGGGGCGTTTAACAATCTTTTATACCCCAAACAAAACTTCAGAGGCGCAAACAAAAAAATCGTGTTTTACATTTGTTTTTATTTTTAGAGCCGCTGTATAACGAGTATACAGCAAGGGTGCAGGCGAGCTGGTGGACGTTGATCATGGTGAAAATTACACGGGGCTGTGGTGAAAGATGAGAAACTTCGTAGAAGAAAAATGACACCGCGAAAGAAACCTCTCATATATGTTCCTTTTTCTGCGTCCTTGCAAAAACTACCTACTTGAAGGGACACTGACAGGAAATTTATGCTTGCCGAGGTTTTTAGTTGTACGTGACATATGAGAGCCCTACTCAGAACCGAATTTGAAGCTCGAAATTCGATTCTTTTGCCCGAAAACCGCCGATCGAGAACTGGCCGGTTTGAGTCGCGCTCACTCTCTTTTCCGTGGTCACGGGCCGTTTTCTAAGGTTTAAACATGACCACCAAATTTATTCGAAGTCGTGGGTCATTGAAGGCGCAAAGTCAATATTAAAAATTTATAAAAAAATATGAAACCCATTTTTTGTGGCTTCCAAAAAACTGCAAATACGTCGACTAAAAAAAAGAAAAAAAGGTTGCGCAGGAAACCGGAAGCATTCTGTACGTTCACTGCATAATTCTCAACATGGCGTCGTTTTGCGTATCGTGAGGCCCGCGGATGGCAGCGGAGGACGGGTGTGGGACCTTTACTTCCGAAATGTCATTCATGGTACCGGAAAATTCTGTCTTCCTTCGAAAGAGAGATTTTGTACCAATCAAAGAGTTGATATTCATCCCGTACGACACGCCCGACCAGCGAACCGATTGCACGAAGACGTCGCTGAGCCGTCGTCCCTTCTCCTGGCTGAAGACGTCGTTCGCGCAAACGTCAAGCACGAAGTGCGTACTTCAAGTTGAACCCGTACGGTTTCTTTACTAGGTGCGAATGCGGCCAATGCGTGGTGCTGCCCGACTTCGAGCCGGGATCACATGTACTGGAGAAAAATCGGCTGCAAACTTTCCGACATACAGTCGACCGGCTGCATTACTACGAACAAAAAAGTCCTCCCACTAGCTCGGCGGAAAGACGTCTGCTTCACACCTAGAAAAAGCGTACTTTATTTTTTTTTTTCTCACAATTATCATTGAAAAAAAAAATTGTTTTCGACGATAAAACTAAATGGTATAGAATTCTCTTGACATCTGCGAACTCAATGTAGTCATTTTCCACAAAATGCAAGGATCCTATGAATCGGGTAGCGTCCGTTTTCCGAGGTGTCCGTAAATGTTCTACTGGAATCGCAGCCAGCCATTGGTTCCGGTCCCGTTGATCTTTCGGAAACTTGTGCAAACTCTGCCGCACAATGCCACTTTCGGATGCAGGACATGTGAGGCAGCTCTTCACGCAACAGCTTGGGGGTATTCTTTTCGGAGCCGATCACGGGAATTCACCACGGGCACTCACTACTAATTTCCAACACTTAAATGTACAAAAGAACTCATCATGAAGTGCAGCGAGCGGAACAAACATACCTGCGAAGGAATCGCACGGCGATCGGTTCCCGCAACGCATTTCGTCTGCTGCACGCGAAGAAAAAAAAAAAATAAATATCGCACCGTCGGGTGTAGCCACGTAACTTCCGCCACTCAATCTCCTCTCCACTTCTCCGTGCGGCGCGGGGGTTTCGGTTTCGAGCAGTTGCGTTTTTTGGCTTTATTAAAAATATTCGGTACTCTGGAGCAAAATATTAATTGGGTAGTATTCCGACACCATAATAAATCGCCTGGCAAAAGAAAAAAAATGAAAAAAAAAACAATTTTTGTTTTTAGGGTGTCAGTGTCCCTTTAAATGCCTTCTGTCAGAAGGGAGTTTCCCGGGCGTTGATCAACCTTTTACACCCCTTATGAAACTTATATACCCCTTATGAGACGAGCCTTTAATACACCTTGCAAACGTTTTTACCCCTTACGAAACAAGAAAAATATTTTTCGTCTACTACATTCTCCTTTTAGAGTCATAATATAACGAAAATGCAGTAAGTGCGCAGACGAGCTGATGGATGTTGATCATGTTAAAAATTGCCGGAAACTGTGGCAAAAGATGGGAAACTTAGTAAAAGATATATGAAACCAGAAAAGGAACGTTCTCAAGGCGTTCTTTTTCCTGTGTCCTTTTAGCAAGAACTCCCTCCTCAAACGCCCTTTGTCAGGAGAGAGTTTTTCGGGCGTTAAACAACCTTTTATACTCCTTACGAAACTTCGCAAACCAGAAAAAAATATGTCTTCTGCATTTTTCTTTTAGAGCCACTATATAACGATAACACAGTAAAGGCCGGTTCACACATGCAGCGAAGCGCTAATGTAGCGCTTCTCACGTGTCGTCCGCTACTTATTGTCTGCCATGGACAACAGTATTGACGGTGCGACACAAAGCTGGTGAACGCTCCCGTCAGCACGCGCTTAGCGCGAGGTCAGCGCTACGCTTGTATCGCTCCGCTACATGTGTGAACAGGCCTTAAGTGTGCAGACGAGCTGGTGGATGTTGACCTTGTTGAAAATTACCCGAGACGCCCGAGACTGTGGCAAACAATGGGAAACTTACTAGGAGAGAAATGACACAGGAAAAGGAACTTTTCGAACGTTCCTTCTTCTGTGTCCTTTTGGTTCTACTAAGTTTGTCACCTTTAACAAAGTCTCCGGTAATTTTTAACATGGTCTACTATATAAGCGACGCTTCAGTGTAGCGATTCAGCCAGCGCCTCTTCTATTGCCTAACTCATACATGAGGCACTGCTTCGGCCATCTTGGTGCTTAAAATCATGGTTGCCATTTACCTGAAGCTTTATCTGAAGTCGCAAGGAACGCCTTTCCGTCTTATCGAAATTTAAAACAGTCCGCGACAGAACAAGACGATATCGCTAGTGCTTCCTGCCGCCGTAGCTGAAGAAGTCGCATTTTCGCATCGACACTTGCGCCCGCTCCGCACTATGTAACAAAATGGTGTCACCAACGAGACGGCCGGGAGAAGTTTTCCGGTTCTTTGAGCCTAGCTTATTTATTAACCCTATATATAATGTATCTAAAGCAGACTTGTACGTGACTGACTTAAATACTCTACTCAAGTTACTGGGCCTTAAATACTTTTGTGGGTATCTTGGTATTTTACAAATGCTTTTGAAGGTGAGTATTTAGTACTCTAACTTAAATACTTGTTGCATGGTAACTTGTACTTACTTCTTCAGTTAGTAGCAAGTTATTGTAGCCTTTCTTAAGGAGGAAAGAAGATCGAAATCAATGCGTTGCCCTTTCTTTCCTTGCACTGGCTTGTATCAACTGGGGAAAAAATAATCCCCAGTAGCGAAGAAAATATTTTGGTGGAACGCTTTATCTAGGGCAATGCCAAGATGGCGTTGCTGACCATTTGCGGCCAGAGCGCTACTTTTCAACCCACGCTTTCGCGTCGGCAAACATCTGTTAAAAAAAAAAAAAAAGAAATTGTCAAACGCAAATTAAAAAAAAAAAAAAAACTATTCTTGCGAGTTAATAAAATGTTTTAGTAGTGTTTTTATTTTTACCTTCGTGTTTTGTGTAGTAAGTTGCTGAACAGTAAATTGCAGAATAAATGGTAAGAGTATCTGGATAGTAATGAGCTATTCGGAGCGCAAGTTCGTCCGCTTCTCTTTTGCAGGGGTTGTGGTGACGTCAGAACTCCGAGCTTTGATTGGTTCTCATTGGAAGGATAGTGGGTAGACCTTAAGGCAGCTCGATTTGAGGTCTATTCACTATCCTGCAATGAGAGCCAATCGGAGCTCAACGTTCTGACGTCATCACAACCCTCGCTAAAGAAGCAGACGAACTTGCTTTCCGCGTACTTTTCTCAAACATTTAGTACTCAGATACTTTTTACAGGTTTTAGTACTTAGTATACTCTACTCAGTTACTTTTCAACCTGGTTCTCAGTAACTTTCAAACTTTTTTTCTGCGTATCTTGCGCAAGCTTGCTGTAAAGCCGCAGTGACACAGTGCCCATACACCGTATACAAAAAGACACGGAGTTTCTTTGCCGACATGATGGCAGAATCATCTGCGTCGACGCCACAATCATGTTTTGTATCATGCACTTATGTACGTTTAGAACATGTCTAAAGACAGTTTTTGCATGACGAACGTAACGTGACTCTCATACGAGGAAGAAGCACACCTCCGACAGTGCCTGAGCACACTGTCCTTTGTATATACGTATCCGCAGTGTGACTTCTGGAGAACGCCGAGATAAAAAACGATCGAAACACGTGAATCCAAAAGCGTGAAGAGCACAGGGAGGTGGATAGGGTACTGCGTGCGTGCGTGCTCACTGGGCCTGCAGTCTTCGGATTCGTCGTCCTTGTAGAAACCGTCCCTGCACCTGCAGAGCCCGTCGCTGCACGTGTAGTTGGAGCCGCTGCAGTCCTCGGCGTTGTAGCACGACTCCTTGGGCTCGAAACCTGCGGGTCAGGGTTGTACGTCTGTCGGCCATCGTTCGTCCGAGTAGAGGTGTCCTTACGAAGCGCGATATTAGCTAAGGCCCGTAAGCAACTAGTTAAAAAAAAAAAAAAGATAAAAACTAGTACGGTTTTATAATGAAAGTTGTTGTTTCGCTAAGGAGCTTAGCTTTTTCAGGGGTGCAGAATAACGCTTGCGTCAACTTGCACTCCCTGAAGGCTCCTCTTGGCCTGTTTTACTTTTTGCAGCAAGAACCAATATAATTAGGTTTTTTACAAGGCAGGTCAATAGTCGAATTATGTTAATGACGCGGACTAAATCCACTGATTTTGGTTCGCGTATTTTTTAGGTGCAAAATTAAACACAGTTACGCCTTAGACGATGCTTATGCGTATCGGGTTCCACCAAACGCAGGAGGAGCCAATCGCTGCCGTCATTGGAACACGTCCGGCCACGTCCGGCAAACTATATCTAAACTAAAAAGAAAAAAGAAAATGGTATGGCTCGTTAATGCTGTGTGCACTGGGACCAGGGTTGTGCGCAAAAGTAATTCACTAACGGCATGAAAGTTAATTCAGCTGTCTTAGCTCCATCATGATCACACTGATTTCCGTAGTATCTGGACTGCAGTCCATACTCGACGCTCATATATGATGCCGGGGCATCGTTAAAAAAAGGAGGCTCCAGCTGGAGACATATGGACATCCAAATGACCGTTGGCGTCAACAATTCGGGTGATCATAGCGCTACTGGACATTCTTCGGTATTTCTTTCTCACGCAAGAAAACGTGTCCATTGAACGATTCGAGAGACACGGGTGTGTCCTGTCCACTGCCAGGAGCGTCGGGTATACCTCTCAAGCAGTGCGTGGCGTTGTCCTCCGGCATCAGCACTCTGTGGTAGGAGGGCTTGCAGCGGCAGATGGAGTGGTGGCAGTACGAGTTGTGGTCGTTCACCTCGCAGTTCTCGTGCCGCGAGCAGCTCTCGCCCAACTCGATCCCTGCGAGAGAATGCCACGGGGTGGGCTTAAGGCGGAACTTGGCTTTAGGCATGGCACTTGGGACCTCCCCATCTCAAACAGCATGCTTTCGGAACATCGTCTCTAATGTGCCTTTTCCGCGTAAAGACGGCGCCTGCAACGGCGGGCGTACGAACTTACTTTGGAGAAACGTCCTCGATTCTCTTCGAAGTGGCACAGCCGGCTTGAAGAGCTACCGACGCAAGTACCGTTCGTTATTTTACCCGCGCTGCCGTTGCCTCCGTTTGCACAAAACGTAGCGTTGTCGCCCTCAGTATATCGACCTTCGCGTGCCGCCACCGCACCGCATCGTCGCAACGGCTCTGTCTTTCGTTATCGGCTCCTTTCGCGCGCGTTGGAAGACGAACGACGCGGGAATCGCGGGCGCGCGTTGGGGTCAGCCTCGGGATGGTCGGCGGCGGCGGCGGACGCGTGGTGTCTTACCCTCGTTGCAGGGCGGGTAGGAGCGGCTGAACTTGGGAAGGCAGATACACTCCAGGCCCTTGCAAAACGTGTTGGCCAGGTTGTCGCAGTCGCCGTCCACGCTGCACGCCTGACCTGCAGGGGTCGACATGGCCGTTTTCTCAAGTCACAACGTAAAGGAGTAAAATTGTTCGTAAACGCATCCACCTTAAAAAAAAAAAAAAGTTTTGCAGCTTGAAGTTGTGGTCACACTAATTCCTCGTACAAAAGACAGTTTGCAGACATGTTCCGAGTGTACACATTTGCACGGAGCGAACATGTTTTTCGAACATGGTTGAGGAGCGTCCGCATATTTAACTTGTTCATCGCGTCTGTACCGAACGCCGTGTCTTTTGATTGTGATCTGTGTGACGGATAATAATAATAATAATAATAATAATAATAATAATAATAATAATAATAATAATAATATTTATTAGGCAGGAATTCAGAAACACAGTACAAATACGGGTCTGTCCAAGCCACAATGGGCTTGTGGGACAGGATTATTATTAATAATAATAATAATAATAATAATAATAAAAGCAGTACACTTTCCAAAACCGCCTCACTTAAAGGGGCGGCGCAACGATCCTTGTACGTTGCGCGAATACCGCTTAGAACGCATCCCTGGCTTTTATGACAAATGAAACTCGCGTCCGTTTTTCTCTCCACGCAATAAACATCGCAGAGAAGAAATTAAAGAGAACCGAGCAGGCGTTCACCCAACACCACCTAGCATAATGAAAGCCTCCGCATCGCCTCCTCTCCCTTCATGAAACGTCATGACAGTCGGATCGCGCTCACTCTGCTATTGGGCCCGATTCCGACCTTCGACGCGCTGATTGGACACGAGCCCCGGCCGAACACTGACACAGCGCTCGTGGCCAATCTCAGGCCCCGATTGATCTGACTGTGATGACGCTGCGGTGCGGAGTCCTGCTTATCTAGGTGGTGTTGGTTCGCCCCCCTCAATTCGCAGCCAGAACAAGCGGGCACGTGATCTGGAGTCGATTATATGCCGCCAAGGTTGAACGTAGCCGTGCGCTGGAGTTTGCAAAGCACAGGACACGCCGCGCCGAGTTAAAAACATCGTTAGGATTCTGCCACTGTTGTCATTGCCACCATTAGACACGGGCCACTACCCGAATGCTTGCCGAGCTAGCCATTATCACGAACCCGAATTGGGTGCTCACGTAATTGCTCGGGTCCAATCTCTAAGTCGCATTCAAATACCGTCACTGGGGGATACTGTGACCCCCACGCTACGTCATCAAGTTTGGCGATGGAGAGATTGAAAGAAGACGCTCGCTTTTATCCTTGAAATTACACCGCAACAAGGATGTATCTCAGTCAATAGCGTTGCATGCGTGTGTACTTGGGTCCCATAGTGCCAGTAAACTCGTGTAAGGTGAAAAACAAAATTCCAATTGAATATCGTTGCACCGATCCTTTAAGTGCTTGTGTGTGAGCACGGGCAGTCCATGTGTAATAAGTGATTACCCCCGTCCCTTTACAACAAAAAATAAAGGACAACCAGAATAACACTTTGAACTTAATATCAAGGACCCGTAGTGCTGTGGCTCACCAATTAACACTGCAGCGGATTGTACTGTGCGTTGGTATACAACAGTTACTAGTTTACGTTCATTCCGCGTAATGACGATGCAACCAAGGGATGCAAAAATTGCACTCACGCCATAAAAGAATACCACCCCACGCGTGAATTAGCCATGCGCAGCTTTTAATCGAAAACCAAAAATGACTCAACATGGAGAATTTGTGCCCAAACAAAAACATCATAAAAAAAAAAAAAAAAACTACCGCAGGCATTACCGTTAACGTGTATTCGTGACCTTTTGACACATTTTGCGATGTTCATTTCATATTGAAGGAAATTTTTTGTTAGTACAAGGGTGCAAGCGAGCTGCTTAAAGGGATGGTAAACCAAAATTTGGATTTCAAAAAAAAAAAAAAAAACAATGCTGGAGATGTAAGCGGGACGCTACAATCCCTACAACACTACTAGTAAGGCGGTATCTCAAGTGGACGGCCGTATATTTGGAAAAAGAGGTCGAGATTGAACCAGGCCGACGAGGCGCGTGACCGCCAAGATTCCTAGTTTCCTCCTGTCTTCGCCTCGCTCCCTCAAGGCCGTGAAACGGAGAAGACGCGAGACCGTTCCCCCTCCCGTGTCGGAGAAACATGACGTCAACATTCCTGCCAAATGCGCCTCTTTTTTTTTTTTGAAAAATACGGTCATCCGTTCGAGATATCGCTGTATGAGTGATGTTTTGGTGTTTGTAGCATCCCGTTGCACGCTTTTGCCGCGTGTTTTGGGGAATCCAGATTTCGGTTCAGTACCCTTTAAGAAGGGCCATTTTTTACCCTCGAGAGTGGGGAAACAGAGGACAACACGAATCTCCAAACACAGCTGAGGTTTATTTCACGAAACACAACCTTAAATAGGCAAGCAAGGCATAAGAGCTGAGCAGACCCAAAGAAGACAAAGACAAGAAACGAATGATGTTGCTAAAACAATTTGCGTGCCTATTAAAGGGGCACTGACACCCCAAAGGTCGTATTTATTTTTATTGACTAAAACGATGCAAGTTGCAGTCATAGACAGGCAAAAAAAACCGCATCGCGAAAAAAAAATTTCCTGCGCGCGCGCGCGCCTTTTTATTTTTAGCGTTTGATTTTCCCGCCTCTTGCCTCCTCGCTTCTTTTGATCGGTGACGTCAAAAATCAGGAAATTTAGAAGCTTTGTAGGCGACATCTCTATAACCTTTAATTACGGCAATCCTAAAACATGTTTTTTAACGCAATTGCGAACGCACTACGGCCCTTCTTTTTGAAATACAAAAAATCGGGAGTTCGTTGTGGTGCCGTCTCCTGGATTTGTATCCTCCAACGGAAAACAGGCGACACCGCTCAAAACCGGTCCGCCGCAACGCCGGGCGCTCGCTCCTTTCCTCCTCGCTTTGGGTCGCCATGGCAACAGCAGGGAGTGGTGAAAGGAAGTGGACTCTCGGGTCTCCGCAATTTTTGACGTCAAGGCACCGGCGCCGATCGCGCGGGAACTTCGAATTCGGCTTTTGGAAATTGTTTCTTACTTCACGAATACTGAATTCCCAAATTTCAAATTTTGAGGGTAATGTCCCGGCATCGTTTTCAATCGTTTCGGATAATAAAAAAAAAAAAGTGATTTTGATGTGTCAGTGCCCCTTTAATCATCGACGACTCTTGCACTGAACGTTTGCAACAATCCTTTTCTATGTGTAGTACTTCAGTATTTTCCCAATACAAGAAGAAATACGCTTCGCTAATTCGGAACCCTCGTATTTGTTTTTCGTCGCTTGTTTGTATTTCAACTAGCCTGTCACTAAGACACCTAGCCGTCTGTCCCACACGGCAAAAACCACACTTCACAGGAATATCGATAATAATCCCTGGGGAAGGGGGACAAAGGACAAACACAAATCTCCAATCGCTTCCGGCTTTGCGTTAATTGCATTATCACATCACAGGAACCATGTACCCTATGGGTCTCAAATGGGGATCCGCGAAGCCCAACGTCATGAGTCAAGCCCGGCAATAAAAATTATTTTTTCTCAGATTGAGAAGAAACGTTCCAGTTTTCGGGTGAGTTTTCTCGTGTATATGTCAATAAAAGAAGTCTATTTACACTAGCTCTCAATTATGTCCATTTATTAAATCACTTTTACAATTAACCCGTACCTTATCTTTCCCCTCACCACGAACGGGGTCCTCCAAAATCTCCGCCGATCCACAAAGGGTCTGCGAAACATCAATGGTTGCGATCCACTGTTGCACACTACACCCACATCGCAATCCACCGAAGGGCCTCTGATTCCTGCTACAACCAGCCTTCTGTGACGAACAAGGTGTAAGCATTTTGGAGGTTCGTGTTCTCCTGTCCTCCTGTCCCTCTCCTTCCTCACTCTCCATGGTTCAAAATCTATCTTCTTTGTTCTTCATTTTGTTTTAATGGCAGAAGACTTGCCCATAAAGTGAAAATTTGTTTATTTATTTATTTATCTCCAGTATACTAACCCCCTTCAGGGATGTTGCAGTGTGGTGCACTTTGAAATATTACAAGCAAAAACAATACTTAGCACACATTGCAGGTCGATATTCAATGCAAATATGGAAGCCAACTCAAGAATGAAAAATTAGCAAATAACTTCTATACAATAGATGCATTGCACTTTGAAAAACAGCATAAAATATTAGTTGATGATGAAAGGTTGCCCACATTTTATCATAAACTATTAATCGAGAAAGATTTCAATGGAAGAGGAATGAACAACATTTTGAGGCAACAATCTGTTGGGACATCGCGTAAACTCGCCAGCACATGCCCTACAGCATAAGAAGATTAGCATTCAGAAATGCTCAACAGACGAACAAATTACTTCGAACATTTCAACAAAAAAAAAATTAAGCTCTCTAAAAAAACTATTAACATCAATAACAATGTAAATGAAGTTATAAAGAGGAAGTCGATTGACCATTATAACTCTATTAACTAACGGAGGTTGCGCACATCGGCCATTCTCTTCGATCAATATTAGCCCGAGCAATACTGTCCCAAGCGCCGTCAATGTCATCCGCCACACTGCCAAAAACCAAAGTTCGTAAAATACGAATGTGGCTTCTCTATTGCGTGGGTCAAAGGGACCGGTGGCCGTGTGAAGGGACGGCATACATCGGGTTCTTAACGTATCGCTCTAGGATACACTACAGAGGTGCCTGAAGTTGGTGGAAGCTTTCGCTAAAATTGTGGAAAGATTGGCTCACCTGAGTAGATCAAGATGTATCAAAAACTATGTTTTCTCTATACTTTGTATGTACACTAAAAATATTACGTGTTACTATGGCGCTTATTTGAGCCAAATGAAGTGACGAATGGGTGAGACAATTCTTTTTTTTTTTTCCATTTTACAAATGTTTTTTATCGTAGTAAACGCCAGGATAGCCCAGAACGATTTTCTGATGATTTTGAGATAAAAGGCTTAGCGATGATTTTTTCATAAACAAAACCAGTTTTTATTTTCTGTTTCTTTTTGACTCCGGAGGTTTCGTGTA